ACTGGAAAAAAGGGAACAAGAGACAGCCCATGTCACGTCAAGGGGCCTCCCTCCCATTTTTCTTAAAGAGACACGCTGCTTGCTCCCTCACTATTCACCCTTCTGTTCAAACAATATTGTACTGCCACCCGGTGGTCAAAATAAAGTACTAAACACAAAAATTAACCAACATTTCTTAAATTTGACAGTAATTACTGATTATTGTCAAATTTCAAACAATATCGTTTATCGCAATAATTTCTGAGACAATCGCTCAGCAAAATGTGTTATCGTGACAGGCCTACCAACAGGATCCTTTTTTTATTATGGCAAATTTATCATCGTCACAACATCATTGTGCACAGTATCAATATTGCAAACAACTGCTTGGACTGTAATACATCATAAATCATTAAGTACCATGCATTCATGATACATTATATATTATTATGCATGCAAATACTATATTTGGTCAATCCAACAGACTCTTACTGGCCTTGAAGCCAACACCTGGTTTAGATTATAGTGATGACAGAAGAGAAAGTGAGAAAAATGTGGGTTTATCACAAAATATATATATTGCAACAATAAATGATATTGCACATTGCAAGTTTTTCTAATTTTGCACAGCTCTGTTTTTAAATACATTGCTAAGATGACTGCTTAGGTAAATATATTCAGTGCTCACATATTGCAACATTCTGCTCAGTATGCACCGAGTTTTAAGTCCGAAAACCTCCATGTAAACCAACAGGATATTTCCTTTGGTAAAAAGTAAAGAGACATCTCAGATAATTTTTTCCAGGTGTTGACTCTTGTTGATTCACATAGCTTTTACCCTGCTGCTGTATGTTAAAATAAAAATTATTCTAATACGTTTAGGTGCATTTAGTTATTGTATGTTGAAAAGAAATGCCGTGTAGTATTATTATTGTGTGCATGGAGGTAGGTGGAGCTTAGAACTCCACCTTGCTAGTGCACTGACGCTGGCATCCTCTGTAAATCGCTTTCTGCTGGCTTCAATTCCCAATGAGAAAAAGCATGGACAGTTGGTGTATTGGTATCATGAGTCCATGGTTGGCACTGCCATTGTTACTGTTAAAGCAGTTGATGGGTGAAATAAACTGTGCATATATGTAATATCCTAAATTTGATCATGTAATCCTGGACAAGACAAACAAAAATTTGAATTTTTGTCGCAAATTGAATGTGGTATTGAGAATCTTCTGTTGAAATGTTTAACATTTTATTAGAGAAATCAAATTAGCTTGCTAATTTGTAATATAACAGCAATATGTTAAATTAATCTTTTGAAGTGGAGTTCTGTGGAAAGGTAATGTGCAAGCAATATCTTACCTGCTGTAGAAAGCTCTTTGAATGGACTCAGTTTGGAGAAATAGTTTAATTCTGGCCAAACTTGTGATCTAATGGCTAGTCTGATTGTAGCCAAGACTCAAGTGGAATGTTTCCATGTGAAAACAGCTCAAATCTCAAAAATATTGTTTTATAACCCTTCACACTGTTGTTAGTTTTGCATAACAGGAAGTTTGCTGGAAATGTTACAACATTCCTGCCAGTGCACTAGACTGTACTAGAAGTGCTACAGTCATTGTTTCTGTTTGTAAAATAATCACATATTTCTGTGCAATGTACAATAGTCCCTCATTTATCGCGGGGGATCCGTACCCTGAAGACCCACGATAAGTGGAAAAACGGTGAAGTAGGAATAGTAGTACAAGTAGTAAGTAG